AATATCTATGTATCACTATAAGAAAATCCACCATAAGAAAATCTTGAAGACTCCTATACTCTTAATAGTAAATAATTTAGTTTAAAGCTTCTATTATATTATAATATCATATCATGTAATATCAATTAAATTATTGATTTCTTTGATTAAAATAAAAAAAGATATAATATATAATAAAAATAATAACTGGCTCTATATCTCTTCCCAATAAGCTTCCATTAATATTAGAACATTACATCACATAATAATATCAATCATAATTATCAATTTCTATAAAATAAAAAAAGATATAAAAACTCTTGTTAAAAATAATAATAGCAAATATGTTAAGAAATGATATAACTTATCAAATATTGCTATAATATTATTATCTTCTTATTAATAAAGCGGAATAGCGTGATATTTATATATCTATAGAAAGAAAAATATATAAATTGTAATAATGATTAAGAACTAATAAAGAAAGAGAAAGAAAAGGATAATATTTATTACTCATTATAGTTATACAATTAATTCTTGTGAAAAATTCCTTAATGTGATCACTGACATGTCAATATCTGAAATTTTACATTTCACATATCCTAAAAAATTGTTATGTCATTATCATCTATAATTGTTAATACTGAAAAGACTGATATATCACTTGATATTAAAGTGATTTTTGATATTAATGAAGTGGCTAATATGGATATTAGTGATAATGAGCTTGATGACACACTTGATCACATTCTGGACATGACAGATGGAGTTGACCAGATGTGAGAGATAGTAGATGATGATAATACAATAAATAAAGGATTACAAGAAATAGAGAGAGTCAAAACCTATTCTTTCCCAGTAGCAGAATACAAAAAATGGATTAAAGATCTCAGAAAAGCAGGACTTAACTATGTTCTACATGAATATCGATAACAACCTGGTATGAGAAATAAAAATAAATAGACAGAATGATAGCAGTGTCATCATTATAGGATATATAAGAGTATTGCTAGAAAGAATTCCTGCAAGAAATCATGATCTGCACAAAAAAAAATAAAAAAATACGGATGTAAAAATTATATTCAAGTTGTGCTCCTCATTAATTCTTCAACAGTAATCTTAAGATACTACTATAAATATAATAATCATTATCCTGATCAATTATCAGACTTGTATACACTTCCTTTTTCTGAAAATATTTGACAATTCATTTGACAACATGCTCTGGAGAGACTTGACACTTATAGCATATAATAGCTCTTGCGACACTAAGCAATTGAACTTCAGGATCGGGTACAGTTGTTAGAAAGGGAAGATTATGATAATAAAAAATCTTCAAATATTCAACTATTATGGGATGGACTGATAACAAAAGATGACATTTACACAATTGTGTATGATATAATAAAAGTGTATTTTTACCTTGATGAAGATGAGCTAGAGTCTCTGAATAAATGGCAGGCAAAGTTAATTATTGCGAATAGTTATTATTTGTTTGAGCATGATGATAAAATGATTGATATGGGATTTATGTTCACTTTTCAAACAGAAAAGCAAAAGAAATTAATACAACTTGCAAGAGTTGTATATCTAGATGGTACACATGGATTAAATCAATATAGATACCATCTTTTTACACTTCTCATATGGCATCCAATAACAGGAAGTAGATATCCAGTTGCATTTCTCATTAGCAAGTTCAAGCAATCCATTACATTAAAAAAATGGCTTGATTTCTTAAAAGTCAAACACGAGGAGTGGAGTCCAGATATTTTTATGATTGATGATATGGGGGAAGAAATTAAAGCAGTCGAGGAGTGCTTTTCTAATAGTACAGTTCTGCTATACCATTTTCATATGCTGAGATCTTGATGCAAAAAATTGAATAATCATAATAGCATAAATACTAATCTACATAAAATAATCATTTGGAAAGATCTTTGGCAATTGATGAAAATAGAAGGTTAGAATGATAATGAAGCATAAAGACAAGTTATAGAGACAATTGATAAATGGTAGAAAATAGATAATGAGGTAGTAAATGGCTTTGTTGATTACTTTGAATATTGGTAGAAGCCAAAATATGAGAAATGGATGGTGTATTTAAAAGGAATCACCAGAGATATGATAGATACAAATAATCTAATTGAGACATTTCATCATAAATTAAAATACTTATATATGAGAGAGTGATCAGGATGATGGTTGGATAGTGAAGTATATTTACTTACAGAAATTGTACTCTGAGATTTAAATTTCTCAGTTTTTTTGGACAAATTAAAAATTGGAAGAATAAATTTATGGCAATGACAACAGCAGATCCAGGAGATTGCAGGAACTATGTATATTAATAAAAATAATATTTATAATTTTAACTCGGATACTTGGATAGTGCATTCAATGATGAATGATGATATAGAGTATTCTATTTGAAAAAAAAATCTTACAGATAATTTGGACATTACTTCATATATCTGCTCTTGTCATGATTTTCAAGTATGACAATTACCATGTAAATATATCTTTGCTGTTCTGAGTCAATTCCAAGTTCATGATGATAGCATAGAGAATAATCAGCATACTCAATATCAAATTACTGAGATAAATAATGTGATCACTGAGACCAGAAAAATAATTAACAAAATCACCAAGATTACTGAGACAAATAGCGAGACCACTGAAATCAATGACAAGACCATTAAGATCAATGACAAGATTACCAAGATAAATAACAAGAATATCAAGACAAATGATAAGGATATGGAGTTTAAGAAGTTACAAGAAGAGTTTAGAGTAATTGTTGCAGAATGAAAGAATAAGAAGAAACAAGATATTCATAGTTTATGATTAACTATTCAACAAGCTGTCCAAATGGAAAGGATTAGAATTGCAAAGACTGAAGCTACGCTAAAAGTTGCTAGTGGTAATGAGCTAAAAAGCTCTAATATAGCACCAAGAATAGGATTTAAAAGATAAAATAGATTTTGAAATCTTTATTTTGCTTTACATACTTTAATAAATTTACACTTTATATTGCATAACTTATTTTACTAGCCACTCTGATCCACATGATAAGTGATACTACTAATTTCATCCAATTGGAGATTAGAATCTACTCTGACCAATAGAAACATCAGGTGAAAATTAGTAAATGCATTATAATAGGATTACTTTTATAGAATCTTTAAATATATAAAAGTAATATATCTCAATTAAAAAAATAAATATAAAATTAAAAGAAAAATAAATTAATAAAATAAATTGATAAATAATAATAAATTAATGAATTAAATAATAATAAGATAAAATAATAATTTAAATATAATAATATTATAAATTAATAATCTTTATTAATAATATCTTATTTATTATAATATATTTCTTATATTATGATTTCAGATCATATTTTAGTTAACTATATCATAAATATATTCTTATTATCTATCTTTAAACTTATTATAATTATAATCTAATACCTATTATATTATATTATATCTTTGATTATATTAATCTCTTTCATCTGTATTTTTATTATATCTTATTCTAATCAAATATTATATATAAAGTTATTAACCTATTATATTTCAAAATCAAAAATTAATTCTGAAAAATATTATATAATTTATTATTACAACTAATGCTAAAGTTAGCAAATATTAAAATTATATATAATAAATATTAATTCAGAAAAAAATATATTTTAGAGAACTCTAATTTCATTTTGAGTTAAAATAAAATTAAAAACTTTTATATATAAAATGAAAAATATATAATTAATTATAATTAGTAAAATATTCAAGCATTATATTACTTTAATTTATAATTATTATTATATAAATTTTAGTATTAACTATTATACTTTATTATTTATTGATGATTATTTATTTTTAATATAAATTAATGCAAAAAGATTTATATCTTAATAAAAATCAATAATTATTTCTAATAAAAATTATTCAAATTTTAATCAATCTTTATAATTTTTTTATATTAAATAAAAAATAATCTAAATTAACTTTTTATACTATTTTAACTATTTTATTATACTTTAATTCAATAATAAATAAAGTATTATTTTATTAAAAAAAACTAAAATAAGATTATTTTTTTAAAAAAAAGATGTTTTAAATATTATCACTATCAATTTGCAATATTAAAACTTCAAATTATGCAAGTAGATTGCTCTAGATTTGATAAATATATATTTTAAATTTTATAAAAATTGAATTAATAGTTATAAAGATATTAAGATTCAAAGTTAAGTAATTAAATTATTTACTATATAATTTTTATATTAATTTTAAAATTTTATATAGCGATAGTAAAATTTAAGAAATAATAATTGAAAAAAGTTATTATTAGTAAAAATTTTTTTATAAAAGATATATGATAAAAATTTTTATATTTAAATAAATTCCAATATCTAATAACTTAATTAAATAAGACAAAATTTTATTTTGAAAAAATAATTTATTAATATTTATCTGAGATACAAATCTTTTTGCACCAACCCATAACTTCAAATATAGTTTTAGTTATTTTTATTTTTGTTGTAAATTAATTTAATTTTTGCTGTAAATTAATTTTATTTACATAAATAGAAAATTAATTATTAGAAAATTAATAAATTACACCCGCGCAATCTGCTCTTGAATTTCATTAATTTGCTTCTGCTCATTGTATTTACGAAACTCATCAATCCAAAATACAGTTGATGTGAGAACTAACAAACGCAAAATATCAAAAAAACCCAACGCTTCAGTGTGAAATATAGATTGAAAAAACGGCAAATAAATGACCATCAATTGTCCAATAATAGAGACAGCCACTGCAAAGTTGAATGTTGTATTTGAGATGAATCCCAATTTGAATATCGATTGTTTTTCAGAACGACAACTGAGAGCATTAAACATATCAAAGAAAACAAAACAAGTAAAAGTCTGTATAAATCAGAAATATAAATGTAAATATAAAAATACAAATTATTAGCAGCAATCAAAAATGAGAAGGTAAAAAAAAAATTAAGTTACCATTGTAGTATCTCTTGATGTAATGACACCATCACGCATCTCAGTAATGTAAATAAATAAAGTACCGATAACTATAGAGGCAGCTGAGGTTAAAACTCGTTTTATCAAGACAGATGTCAAAATAGATTCACCCTTTGCTCTGGGTGGTTTCCGCATTACATCTTTATCGACCGGTTCCACTCCCAAAGATTGTGCAGGGGGCCCATCCATTAGAATATCTAAATAAACCATTGTATTGAAACTCGGCTCATAATTTATGATATAATCAGAGAAAATCATGAACCATTGACTTACTTATCCATAGAATTTGCATTGCATTAAGAGGGTTAGGAAGCCCCGATATTGTTGATATGGCGATTAATGTTAATGCGGCAATACTTGTACTCAGCTGGAATGTAAGGAAATTCTGGATATTATAGAAAATTGATTTTCCTGTGTGTGTGTGTGGTTGTTTTTGATATCTTAGATTTTATAGAGATAAAATTATTATGCTAGCAAAAAACCACATACATGCCTTCCTTTACGGCTTCCAAAATGGTAGAAAAATTATCATCAACTAAAATCATATCAGAAGCTTCTCTCGATACATCTGTGCCTATTTTGCCCATTGAGATCCCAATATCTGCCATTTTTAAAGCAGGCGCGTCATTGACTTTAAGATAACAAAGATAAATTTGTTTAAGTATTGTATACTCAAAATAATAAGAAAGCGTGAGATTAATTAAATTACGATCTACCTCCGTCACCTGTCATTGCTACAATAGCGCCTTTGGATTGAAAGGCCTTTATAATGGACAATTTATGCTTTGGAGTAGTCCTTGCAAATACTGTAACATTACTAATTATGTCTTCTAATTGTCGTTCACTCATTTTTTCGATATCATTTCCAGTTAAACAGTTGTTATTATGAGAAGTATTAATAAGAATCCCTAATCGACGTGCGATCGATATCGCTGTCCCATCTATAAGAAAGTATACAGTTTCAATCAAATTAATTATATTAAAAAAAACTATTTTTAATAAATTACCCGAGTCTCCTGTTATCATAATTACTTTTACTCCGCCACTTATTAATTCTTTTATAGAATTCTCAACACCTTTTAAAATATTATTCAAAGGATTAGAAAATATAACTTAATAAAGATAAATTAGTAATCATACCTTTTCTTGGCGGATCTTGCATTGCAACAAATCCAACAAACGTGAGTTTGTTTGGATCTGCACCATATGCCATTCCTAATACACGAAGTCCTCGTGATGACATCAAATCAGCGTGGCGCATCACTATTTCCTTTGCGCGGGCATCAAGAGGCGGTAGTTTTTTTTCTGAATGCAAGTAATTAGAACATCTTTCTAAAACTAATTCTATTGATCCTTTCATGTATATTATTTCTTCTTTGGAATTATCATTAATTCTTTTATAACTCACAGACATCCACTTTTGTTCTGAATTGAATGGGATTTCAGAAACTCTCTCATAAAACTATTATATTTTAATTGTTTTATTCAATATAATATTGAGTTTTCGTAAAAGAAACATTCAAATATACATTTACCTGTCTATCATCTTGCAGTCCAAGTCTAAGATGAGCATCAAGTAAAGCAACTTCTGTGGCTTGTCCCATTTTATTTCCCTTTTCATCAACATACGCATTGTTGCATAATATCCCTGATCGATCAATTTTTATTTAGATTTATTTGAATTCCACCAAGCTAATTTAATTTATTGAATAACAACTAACCTATTTTTAAGATTTCACGCATTGAATTATTGGTATTATTTGGTAGTCCATGTTCCAGGTCAAAAACCGTTTCTCCATCTAAAGTAAATATTTTTGTTACGGTCATTACATTCTCAGTCAATGTACCTTTGGTGGATAGATAAAAGAACATTAATGTTTGGTCTTTGAAAAAACATTCTCTATACAAATTGTGCATCAAGCATATCCAATACTAAAAAAAAAGGTTTATTACCTGTCTTATCAGAACAAATCACATTAACAGAGCCTAAAGTTTCAACAGATGGTAACTTTTTCACAATGGCATTTCTTTTAGCCATTCGAAGAACTCCCAAAGCCAAAGTAACTGTGACGACTATGGGAAGACCTTCAGGAATTGCGGCTACCGCCAGACTGACTTTGTAACAATGAATGCAACGCACGTCAATGATTAATTATAAGTTCAAAAAAATAAAGAGTAAATATAAAATTATTTTTTCAACCTCCAATCGTAAGCATTTCCAACCAATTACGACCCTGTAAAACTCCGATAATGACAATAATTCCAATAATTGCAAAAGAAAGATACGAGAGTTGTTTCCCAAGTTTATCCATGCTGGTCTGCAAGGGTGTTTTCTTTGTTTCAACCTATGGTTTTATTATTAAAAATGATTAATAAAAGAATTATAGTTTAAACATATAAATAATAAAATACCTCTTGCATCATGGAAAATACTACGCCAAATTCTGTATCTTTTCCTGTACCCACAACAATCCCTGTTCCGTTTCCTTGATTAAGCCACCAAAAAAAAACCAATAAGACAAAGGTTTAATAAATTATTTGATCGATATATACAAACCATTTCGAACCAGTGTTCCCATAAATGCAATATTTCTTCTATCTTGTAAGCCTAATTCAGAGTACAAATTATCAGAGATAGCATCAGTTATCTTTTTACAAGGTTTATTTTCCCCGGTTAAATTAGATTCGTCAATTTCCAAATTAACAGCCTAAAATAATATTAATAACATTAAATTAAATACGATTTTTTACGTTAGATGGTGAATTAAATTAATTGATGTACCGTAATTAATCGAATATCTGCTGGAATCCTATCTCCAATTCCAAAACGAACCAAATCACCTGGCACAAGCTCATTTACAAGGGTGGTAACATGATGACCTTGACTGAAGATTCATATTTCACGTAAAAGATTTATGATTAGATTATCGATATTATAACAGCAATCCATCCAAATAAAATCTACCGGATAATATGACAATAATGGGGAACAAGTTTATTCAACGCTTCTAAAGATTTTTCTGATCGATATTCCTGAATAAATCCCACTATACGCAACAGCAAATTTTTAATATCGCTTAGATTTACAAAGATAAAATAATTAATATGGATATTTATTAAAATACCAGTTGTTACTATCAAAACCGCCTGAAAATCCGTTATATTATTATTTTGTTAGAAAAGGTTCTTCATATATTTCAGCCGATTTCAAAGTTAGAATCGAATCTGTACCCACCAAAATCACCGAAAAAGCATCATCGCGATTTCCTAATATAAAGGATATTGTAGCTGATGCAATGAGTAGCAAAATGAGGGGATTCTCGAGAAATTGTTTGGCAAACTTGACGAAAAGAGACTCGTCGTCATTCACTTCAAGCTCATTGAGGCCAGAAGACTTTCTTCTTGAGGCGACTTCATCTAAAGTTAAGCCATTTATTTTGTCGGCGCGTAGATTTGCAACTACCTCATCAATAGTACAACGAGCAAAACGTGCAGAAGGAGTAGAATCTATCATTTTAACTGAGGTGACTGGAATAACATAGAACCAGATGGCTTGGTTGTAATCGCGTCAAAACCACCAAAACTTGTTGATCTAAAATAAATCTGATTATGACGCATCTTCCATGATAGAATTCCTAGCCTCTTCCTAAGCCATGGCGAAAAAGTCGTGAATCACGTGATTTTAAAGTGGTAAGCCAACTTCCAGTGAAAATTCACAGACACGTGATCGAGAATTTGGATCGGATATCGGGAATTTGATCGAGGATTAAACTAAATTTATCGTTCGGGAGGTGATTATATCACATGGTAAAGACTATAGTGAAAATTTCGTTTTCATAAACAAAAATTTCAAAATAAATGAATATTTTTACACTTTGATCGATTGTGGCTTATATCAGGGGTAAAACTCACGAAGTTTACCCCTATTTTCGATGGGGTAAGCCAATCAAATCACAAGATATGAAATACAAGTGGCTCTCGATAAGAAGGTTGCTGGATCCAATCAAATATTGTCATGAATATGTTTCGTTTTGTATTAGTATCACAATTAAATTAAACGACATTAATATTCGATTTTATGCTTAGCGATGTCGTGAAACGATGCCGATGCTATATTAAGCTAACAATATAACAAAGAATATTTATTTAATAATGAAATTTCGCGGATTCAGACCCTTATCTCTCCCATTCTCTTAATATTATCATATATTAAGAGTTCCGAATAGGGCATTACGTAAAAGTCACCAGAATTTATGTGGAAGAAACGGATCAATGATAAACATTATTTAAGCGCAAATTTTAACTGTCTAAATTCGTTTCCTTCACGGAACTCGTAAAATCAACATTCTTACTAGTTGATTAAGATGTACCTTTACTTTTTTATATATAAATTCAAATTTACTTGTTTTTGCACAATATTATCCTTAAAACTATCTAATTTTTGAATAAAAGATCCATCCACTTTAAATCCATCCTCTTAATCAATAAAATAGAGAAAATTATTAATACTTCTTATGAGAAATACTCATTCTCCTCCTTTTTATTCTTATTACAATTATGCTCAAGTACTACTTTGATTATTTTTGTGTAGCTGAGTATTATATCAATTTCAGTAGCATTATTAATATTAATGAAATCATTTATTTTCATTGCATTTATTAAAGAAAATCAGTTAATAAGAGATTGAATTTTTGTAATAAGATTACTAATGGTATTAACTTTATATTTTATTAATTCTTAAGAGATTAGATTAGAATATTTATATTAGTTTGAATTTATGGATTGGTGCAAAAAGATTTATACCTCAGGTAAATATTAATAAATTATTTTTTCAAAATAAAATTTTAATTCTGTCTTATTTAATTAAGTTATTAGATATTGGAATT